ATTACTGTTTTTACATAGATTTAACTGTCTATACTCTATACTCTATAACATCATAAAGAATGTCGTAATTTGAGTATTTTAAATAGAGGTTTTAAAAATTAAACTAAGCTATTTCTTTTGCATTATAATGCCACTTTTTTCTCATCACATTAAGTAGATACAAGATACAATATTATATATTTCATATATGTATAATGCTAAATTATTATTCACTAAATATTTCGATAAATTAAAAAAATTATAAAAGTTAGAAGTTCGAAATAGTTTTTTTCATGCATACAAAATGTCAATAATACTTAAAAGACATAAATAGATATATAAAAAATAAAAATGCATAACCTCTTGAAAGTTAGAATTAGACTTTTATAATAGTATTTTTTTTTTTTTTTTAATAAAGTTTTACTTTTATGTACATATACGAGAGATTATTAAAATTTAAGTATTATAAAATGTTTATATTGATAAAAAACATGATATATACACAAAAAATATTTAAATATTATAATATCATGTACAGAAATATAGAATACTTACATTATTGCAATAGTGTAAAATTTAATTTGTATATATATATACTTAAATATAATAATATTTCAACCATGACACTCAATGCATTTTTATTTGTGTTGGAAAAATTCAATGTTTTACGTTTTTGAGAAATATTTCACCATGTAATAATAGATTAAATATATTTATTAGTAAAATAAAGAACTTAATTTTCTGTTCAAAAAATAAATTTATAGCTGTATGCATATAAATATCTTAAAAAATGTATTTAAAACAAAAAGATAATTTAAACTTTTATTTATAGAAATTTGTCAAGGTAGAATTATTGAATTCTATAATGTTTTTAGTTTCTGAGCAAGCGATGAATGTATTGATTGTACAAAGATATGTGTTTTTTGTGTCAGTTACATGAAAAAAATCGAGAAGTAATCTAAGAAATGATTTGATTTTCAACTTTGAAAAATTTAGATAGATAATTGGAAATAGTTTTTATTTTAGTGAAGTAAAGTTAAAAATTTCTATATTTATAAAAGCAATCGGAAAAAAAACTTATGAAAAACAAAAATTTTTTTGAATCCGGTTTTCAAAAATAATCGATTTTGTTTATTTAGTGTGGGTAATTTAAAAACAAATAATATTGTAAGTATTTGAAATAAAAAAAAATAAAAATCGGTCAAATACTGGTATTGCATAAAATTTCTTATTTCCTTAATTTTTTTTCCCCTAGTTATTTTAAGAAGTTCTAGGAGTTATTTACTCTTGACCTATGTATCAACTAAATTCAATTTGCAAACAAAAATCACTTATACTAAGTTGAAAATCAAAGCATTTTTACTACCCTAAAAGTTGACGATAAATAGAAAAAAAAAATAATAAAATCATACATCATTGTAAAATTTGTACAGTCATCGTTACAGTCTGTATTCAGGATTTAAAATACTTATGCTTGATTTGTTTTTTAAACCTTTAAAACTCGAAATTTGACAAATTTTGTCAAAAACATGAAAGCTGATTAATGATTTTGTTGTTAAAGTTTAAACAAAAAGTTTCTCGTAAGTAGTTCTTACTAAAATTTAAAAATAAATAAAAGCACAATTTTTTATAGAAATTTAAAATATAGATTTAGATATTTAAATGAAGAAAATCGTTTAAAGTTACTTTTTTATGTATTAAAAATAATCGTAGATACATAAAAATATTACGTATATTATTATATTTTATATACACAATGAATAAAAACATTATTGACATTTATACATGACTAAATAGAAAAATATAAGAATTTATTAGTTAAAAAATAAAAGAAGAGAAATTAATAAATTTAAATTATTTACCACAGGAGTTTTAAGAATTTTCCAAAATCTATAGGTAATAAAAATTCTAGTAGATTTGATGGCAATTGTTTATTTTGTTTTACTTGATGTTCCCACAGTTTTCTTTTATAAAGTAACGAAATCAGCTAGTTTGAAATCAAGTCAGGTTACTTGATGTGTTCTTCGTCACTTACTTCATTCATTGGTAGAAATCAGTTGAAAAAGTTGGGGAGTACAATTTTTTACATGAATTTATGTTGTGGGGAACATGAAACCCCACACCCTCTTATAAATAATTCTTAACAAATTTTGAATATAATATTTAAATAACTTTTCCGTACCAAATATTTAAAATAAAATAACTGTTAAATTTTTTTTTCATATTTAACATTTAATAATATTATACTTGTTAACATATTATATATAATGGGCATATTAGAAAAACACTTCATATTTTATTTTAAAACCATCATCCTTGAGTATTTTGAAAATGTATTTAAAATACATTCACTGTCAATACTTTTTGCTAAATGTTTTTTTTATGTGTAGACTAGACAGATTTCTAAAAAATGTTCTTGGTGCATAGAATTTTTCGTCCACATTTTTATTCATTGCATAACTAAAAAAGATCGCTCACATGTTGCTGAGCTAATTACTAGAATAAGTACTATTTGTAGCATTTTATATAAATTAAAAACAATTTTTTTTTAGTGTATTTTTTAAATATTCAAATTATTATTAATTTAATTTAAGAAATTTCTAGCAACAGTCATTTTTAATTTAATATTTGATCTGTTAATATCCAATAAACCTTGAAAAAAAATTACTTTTTTAGTATTTATATTATTATTCATACAGTGTTTATATCTATTTCAATATATATATAGTTGATATAAATCAATTTACGATATAAAAATATTAAGTTTGTTATGATTTTTTTAAAATATTTATGAAAATGGAACTACAATATTTTTATATTTTTGAAATAACTTTTAGAGGGCTTGATGTAATTTTTTTGGTGGGGGGGGGGGGTAAAAAGTCTCCTTAATTTTCACCAACTCCATTACTTATTTTTTTAAAGGTTTTCAATGAAAGTTATTTAAACAAAATAGATTTTGAGGTAATTATGAGTTAAAAATATGTTTGAATTAATCACCTCCTTTTTTGATTAATGAACGTGTTTATATCTAATATAATATAACACCTTTGACTTCAACGTTATTATCTTCTGTTTTTTTCTTTAAAAGTTAAAACACGTTAACTTTAAAAAAAAATTTATAAATGTGTAAGCTGACTTAAATCTAAGCGTAACATAGCACTGAAACAATTAACATAGATTTTCATTTTGTATTGCTATAATGCAATTTCGTAATAAACTAACAGTATCGTCATGTACACTATTTTAAACTGTGATTAAGTTGAAAATAAATCAAAATATTAGAACACGTTAACACAAAATCGATACTAAAAATTCAGTAACAAAAGTAAAAAATAAAGCAACCATCGTGAATTTCGAAAAGGATATTTGAAACGAATTTGTAAAAGGAAAATAATAATTTACGTAATTTGGGTACCTACGTCAAATTTAATTTATATCATTAATAAATAAAATATAAAGAAATAATTTGGAAGTGTGATGACGGATGTCTGTATTGATTTTAAAATTTTGTATTATAATTTAGATAATGAACCTTGGCGCCACTGGTGCACACAATAAACACTTGAATAATAACAATACTAGTTAATATTTGATAATTCTACGCCTAGAAACAAGAAACATTGTATATTTTAATTTTGTAACTATAATGTACCTCTATAATTTTTTTGAACTTTATAATTGATTTAATACAGAATAGAACATTAAAATGAATATACCTATATTGACATTGGTAATTTCAGGTTTATTATAACAAATCAATAAGAGGACTTTGAATTAATAATATCCCTACTTATTCACAAAAAAGATAAAATCTTGTATAGTTTTACTTAGCATGACATATTTTACACATATAAATACAATATAATTATGTACATATAATATTTTTTTTGAATAAAAATTTGAAAAAAAGCCACTTCAAATAATTTTATATTTGTATATAATTTTATTTAATACGCTATACTGACGTAAAACAATTACAAAACAAAAAAATCTAATAAAACTCATTGACATAAAATAATCAATTTTATCGTTGTGTTATACACACATATACATATATATTATTCGAAGAAGATATAAATAATAACAATGAATATAAGATTTCTTTAAAAAAAAAAGTTTTTTGTATTTAAACTTTATGACATAATATACATCATGTATGGCAGTAGATATGTCATAGGGCAAAAACAATACCAGGATGTGAGTTTGATTGTTTGAATTATAATTACAAATGGGGACATTTGTATTACACGTATAATTTTGCATCGAGTTAATTTGGAAAAATTTCTGAACATGGTGTTATAACTTGATTAAAATAACAAATTAAAAAAATGAAATTATTAAATATTTATCATAACAAATATATAAACCTATAGTAATTGTTGTTGGCAGTCACTTAATTGGGAATAAACTATTTGGTTTAAACGTAAAACTAAGAAGAAACATGATTTTATTGATATAAGATGTAATAGTTCTACAGCTAAATAAATTTTCCGTGAAAATTTGTAATTGATAAATGGAAAAAGATATATTTTAATTTTAAATATTCTACGTTTATTTAATGAAATTAAATTGAAAAAAAAACTTAATACTTACGTAATTTTTTTTTAAGTATTTTTTATTTCGCACAATGATAATAAAAATTGATATAAATATTAACTCATCAATGAAATTATATACATGGTATTAATAGTCTATTACAAATTTGAATTAATCTGCATATACTTATAAATAATTAAACTAAACAAAGGTCGTTAATCGAACAGCACTGTCTAAGCTTTAGACACCGCATTTCAAATCATTTTAGTATCGACTTTTTTTTTTTTAATTTCAATGTGTTTGTTTAAAATTCTAATGTTAATTATTTATTTTAAATAAAAACAGTTGTGGGTGTAATAAAGAAAATTAATTCTAATTACCGGCAGCAGTGTCTTATTTTGTTAAATTTTGTGTATTTATTTATATGTTGAAGTAATAACTTACATTTTGTTTCTGTGTTTTGTTATTTTTATTGTTTAGTATATATATACATATATTATATTTTTAAATTATTTTTTGCATAAACTTTACAAATTTCATTCTCTATTATTATGGATATTTCAACTAATTCAGTTTACAATAATTACGTAGACAACAATATGGTATCAAATCAAAACAAATCACTCCGTGTAAATCAAAATGGTAATTATTTTATTCCTTTACTATAACTGTTGTATTAAGTACTTAATTGTTGTATTAGGAATGTACAATTATTTTTCGTTATTTTAGTAAATACATGTACAACTACAAATTATGAAGAAGCATACCGTCGATCTTTAGAAGACCCTGAAGGTTTTTGGGCTGAAGTTGGCACCGTAGTCGATTGGTATAAGCCCTGGGATAAAGTTTTAGACAATAGTGCTCAACCTCTGACTGATTGGTAAATATTAAAACAGTTTAATTATTTTATCACGTGCTACAGATTAAATACAAGATATTTATCTTGTTCTTGTAAATATCTTTCATAGAAAAATAATTAAAAATTTATCTTTTATAGTTTACAAAATTATACACTATATGATAATAATTATGAGTATAATAATGGTACATTATAGTTTTATACATATATACATATATATATATATATATATATATATATATGTATATAAATTATAAATTAAAAAAATGTAGAATTTCAAAATTATAACAATAACATTATTATCTAAACCAGTGATTCTCAGTCTGTGTGTTTTAATAGCACTACTCTAACCATGTTAATTTAATGAAAAATATAAACATATTTTTTAGTTAATGTTGTAAACACATTTACTACAGTTTTAAAATGAAATATGAAAATAATTGATTATAAATTATGATAATATTAACCGTATAAGTTAGTCGTAAATGATTCACAACACCTGTAGATTAATTGTTGAATACGAATTTATAATAATTTTATATTTTAGTATAATTTAATATTATAATTAATTATTTAATATTTTTATTTAATAAGCCAGAGTTGAAAGTATTTAATTTTTTTTTATAACAATTATTTGATCACAAAGTATCACCAATGGGTGGCCTCTTCACTCCATACTTCTTCAAGGACTATATTTAATGACTACTCTAAAAAACCTTTTAAAATATTCTATTATTTTAGTTTGATTTTTTTTTCATTTTTGAGTTGTAAATTTTTATAGAAATTCAGAGTGGGTTAATTTTTTAAGTTAAAATTTGTTTGAGTTTTGGTATCAGGTTTAAATCATTTTGATCTCACGTGATTAAAAGGAGTGAAAAACTTAATGGCGTGTCAAATTATACATAATGTTTATAATTATATAAAGTTTTTTGGTGTTATATGCTGTTTATGAATATTGTTGTATCTACTGTATAGTTTAACAGTTTTATTATATATTTACTTTTGGTATAAATATAATATATATTCCTTTAAATTATAATGTGAGTGCCAAAGTGTTATAAGAGAAAATAAAAAAAACTACAGAATGTAGTCATTATAAATTAGAAGTCATGCACTCATCTCCTGTCGTTCACTTCAGCAAAGGGTAAAAGAGTAGGTAGTTAACCATGTATTGTAACAATGTAACATTAAATTAGAAATAAATGATAAATCAAATATTTAAAAAAGAATTCTTAGTATTCTGAAAAAAAATTTAGATACGTGTCCTCAATTGTCATAGAAATAAGTTTCCATGATATGGATTGGTATGATCACAAAATATTTTTTTTATAAATTTAATTAGAAGTGATTTTTATATTTTGTTCCATTTATATTTGTAATCGGCAATTAAATAGCTAAATAATTACATTCTTATAATATTAGTTAAAGGAGAATTTATTTTTAGACAATATATGTCATGTATAACATATACTCAACCAACAGTTATGTAAACATTAAGTAGGTTGATACATACTCGTAATTAAAAAATTAGTTGTAATATATATTTACTGTTATATACCTTCTTTACTTATTAAGTATATATTATAAATTATATGTATAATTGTAAAGTGAACATGCCAGTAAATTGAGAATTATATTCACAAAGCAATGGCTTATTTAAAAATAAATTAGTTCGATAACATTAATCAGCTATTAACGGGAATCTGAAAAAGGTTTTTATTATTTTTATTTTTATTTTTTGTTATAAAAGAGTAAGTAATACAGTGGTTTTCCGTTCTGTACTATGATTTCAGTCAGTATAGGTATCAATTTTAAACCGGTAGCATAGAATATTAAGTATATCATCCCCTAAATATGTAAATATGTCTATTTATAGACTATAAACATAATTATACAGTTATTTATTTAATGGTTTAAAACTACGAATTAGGTAGATTATTTCAATAACTATATATAAATTAAAGAAAAAGTTATTACTTTCCATTAATTTTAGGTTTGTCGGAGGACAAATAAATGCGTGTTACAATGCAGTCGATCGTCATATTAAGGCAGGTAAAGGTAAAAAAGTTGCCTTAATCCATGATAGCCCTGTGACTAAATCTGTGACAAAAATTACGTATGAAGATCTATATGAAAAAGTTTGTACTAAAAGATAAAATTCAATTATATAAATATAAAATTTTTCTATGTTTTATTTTTTAGGTATCATTGTTAGCGGGTGCTTTGGTAAATCTAGGTGTCGTTAAAGGTGATCGTATTTTGATTTATATGCCTCTTATACCTGAAGCTATAATTTCAATGTTAGCTGTGGTTCGAATTGGAGCCGTTCATTCTGTAGTTTTTGGAGGTATGGTTATACTATGATAATGATTAACTTCCTTACCTCCACATAAATCTAAAATAAATTTAACAAACAAACTTTTTATTTTACTTACATTTTTAATTTTTAAGTAAATACGATAATACAATTCAAAACTATGTATAATTTAAAATATTAAGTTGTTTGTTTGTTTGGTATACTATCTTTAAATTTTAAATAGTATTTTATGGTATATTTTCTAATAATTTTCAATACAAGTATTTTAATATAATATTAATTATAAATATGCATAGATGTTTAGTCTTTACTGAAATGTTAAATGTTAAAAATGTACATATTTTATAAAATTATAAATGATGTAGTTTAAAGAGTTTTTATGCTTTATGATAAAAAATATATATTTAAATTAATTTTTAACGCCAATAGACAACATTTTGCATTTATAAATAAAGTTTTCAAAAAAAACAATTGGACTTAAAAAAAATATAAAAAAATAATATTAAGGTTAGTGTATACGTAAATTGATTTATATTATTGATATGAATATTTATAAATGATAGAAAAATTATATATGATATATTTATATTTTAACTAATTATAATAATGTATACAAAATATAACACATTCTGACTATCGAACAATTGAGTAGTCAGTAGATAATTAAAATCACGATCGATGGTATTCGGAAAAAATTCTTTAGTGACATTTTTAATGATAAAATATTCTAGCTAGCTTCGTATTTATTAGTTGCAGGTAATATTAAGACTAAAGAGATCTTATGAAACACAAAAATAGAAAAATGTTCTTATAAAATAAAAATGAACTCAAATATGTAGCCCTAGTCTCTATAATAATATGGTTATTGTAATTTAGTGGATTTTTAGAAAATTTTGAAACAATTAATTTTATTAGTAAGTAATTTAATATACACTTAGTTATTATTAAAAAATGCTTAACATTTCTCAGGTTTTGCAGCTCGTGAACTTTGTGCGCGTATCAATCATGCTACGCCTAAGGTTATAATAGCTGCAAATTGTGGAATTGAACCGAACAAAATAGTAAGGTATTTCAAAGAAAAAAATTATCCTACTAAATAAAATGGTTAACAAAAATGGTTCATGTTGTGGTTTTAAATCTAGGTACAAAGATATTTTAAATACTGCTCTAGACCGGGTGACAGAAAAACCAAAACATTGTATTATATACCAAAGACTAAACATGGAACCTTCTCCATTAACTCCAGGGATTGATATACTTTGGTCAGATGCATTGTCAACAGCTAAACATCATCAATGTGTGCCCGTGGAAGCAAATCATCCTCTTTATATACTATATACATCTGGTACCACGGGTGCGTGCAAATTATTTTCTAAGTAGTGTAAAATAATAAAAATAAAAATACTAAATACATTAATAAAATAAAATATATTATGTATAAATATTTTTAGTTTTTAAAACAATTTTTTTCTTATTAATACATTTTGTATTACATTATTTGTATTGCATTTTACTATTTAAATATATTAGTAAAATTATTGGAAAAATCGTTTTAATTAAAACATGTGTATATATATAATTTAGTAAATTAAAAATATTGATAGGATATAAAATATTTGAATTTTTAAAATTTTATGTTGTACTTTTCTAAATCTGATTTAGATTTTATCCACGCATATAGAAAATAATAAAGGATTTTATTTTTACAATTGTTTTAAAAAAAAAAAAAATAGTATATACGTTTAATTTATACTGTTTCAATGTATATATCTTATTTGTATACTTATAAGTGAAAATAAAGTCAAACATTTTAATAAAATGGTCAATGATTTACTTGACACATTTTTAATTAAGGCATAATATAATAGGTATTATAAATACTTTATGTTATTTTTAGCATAATACTTAAACACATTTAATATTTAGATAAACCAAAAGGAATCGTTAGACCAACTGGAGGACATATTGCTACATTATGTTGGACAATGAGCTGCATTTATGGTATGACAGAAGATGATGTTTGGTGGACTGCTTCTGACATGGGTTGGGTAGTAGGACATTCGTACATATGTTATGGCCCACTTTGCGCTGGAATCACATCAGTTATGTATGAAGGTAAACCAGATAGGACACCTGATCCTGGACAATATTTTAGGTAAATAGTATTTGATTTTAGAAATAATTTAAATTAGTTAAAATACCTACATCAAAAAAATGGTTACTGTATTGTTTAATAATCATTGAAAACCCATAATTAATGCTAAGATTTTGTAGGATTTATTAATCGCATACTTTTATGAATTAATGCTATTACAGAAATATTCCCTAGCATTTTAGTTATTTAAATGATACATGGATGTATGACAGAAAACTCAAATTATTATTATTATTATTAATATTATACTATTATATCATTGATTCTATTTTCATAACATACAATTTTAATGTAAAATACGTACGTGTGTAACTTGTGTATTATGAACAAATTTATCATCATAGAGTTATCCAAGACCATAAAGTGAATGGACTGTTTACGGCACCGACTGCTTTAAGGGTCATCAAAAGAGAAGATCCAGTTTTGGAATTTGGTAGTAAATACAACACTAAATCGTAAGTCGTAGCATAATATGATATAATATAATAAATTAATTTATAAATTAAAATATTTTTTATTTTAGGCTAAGAACTTTATTTGTAGCTGGAGAACATTGTGATCATGAAACATTGACTTGGGCTGGAAAAGCTCTGAATGTAGGTTTAAAAATAAAAATTTTATCTATAAAATTATACATTTCACGTAAGATACTTATTATTAACTAAAATTATAAACGGTTTTGAAAATGCTTTTATTAGATAATTTTAAATCGTTAACATTTTTTAATTTTTACTTTTTTTTGATGACTACATGTATTTTTAATAAATCCCAAAGTAGAATATTTTTTACAGTTATTTGATACATAAAAAGTTTAACTTTGAACACGAGTAATTAAGTCATAAGTATTTAACCTTTAAACAAACAGAGTGAGATAGTATAGGGATGCCATTAAAATGTTTTTCCATGCTTTAGAAGATGAAAGTGATTATCTAAACATTCTAAACTTTAAATACTTACAAAGTTATAACTAATAAATTGTTTTTCAAAAATTAAATTTTTATAAATTGAAATACTTCTAATAATATTTTGTTTTGGAATATGAGATTAAAATGTTTATTATAAAAACTTAAAAAGAGGAAACTTTAAAAATTATTTTTTTTTTCCAAAAATGTTGTTATGTCATGATTTAAAATTTTGCGTAAGAAATATTTTCAAAGATGTTAGTGTATTTAAAAATAATAAAGAATATTACATTAAATGAGTCTCCCCGAATATATAATATGGATTAGTTATCAAATACAATTTTTAAGTTTAATTTATTTGATTAGGTACCTGTTTTGAATCACTGGTGGCAAACTGAAACTGGTCATTCAATTACAGCTAGTTGTCTGGGATTTGGACATAATCTAAAACCTCCTATGTTTTCTGCTGGAATGCCGTTCCCTGGATATGATGGTAACTTTTTAGAATATAGGTGGTCAATTTATAGAATTTATTTATTTACAAATTTATTGAAATAACATGAAATATAATAATTTTTGATTTTGATAGAATGTACAAATACAAATACTGCAAATTCTACTTGCGCGGAAAAATTAATGACTATAATTAATTATAATTTTAGTGAGAATTTTAAAAGAAGACGGTAGCCCGTGTCAGTTATTGGAATTGGGTCGAATTGTGGTCAAACTTCCATTACCGCCAGGAGTCATGACATGCTTGTACAAAGCTCCAGAACGATTTATTAATACATATTTCAATAACTTCATTGTAAAACTAAACAAATTTTAAATCAAATCATTGTAAATTTACAAAAATGTATGACTAATACTGTGAAATATTACATCAGGGTTATTATGATACAATGGATGCTGGCTACACCGATGAAAATGGTTATATTTACGTTACAGCCAGAGATGACGATGTTATTAATGTAGCTGGACATCGGTTGTCAACTTCTGCATTAGAAGACGTAATCTTATCTCATCCAGACGTTGGCGATGCAGCTGTATTTGGCGTCCCAGAGACTACGAAAGGAGAAATACCTTTATGTCTTTATATTAAAAATAAAAGTTAGTTTATCATTTTTATTTATAATATTTTTTAAATGTCTATAAGTTAAGCATAACAAAATTAGATTGCAGTAGAGAAGAAGAAGATATTAATAATGAAATCGTACAAAATGTTCGAGATTTAATTGGACCAATTGCGTCGTTTCATTTATGTGCACCTGTGCAAGGCTTACCAAGAACGCGATCAGGAAAAACGGCTAGGAAATCATTATCAAATTTAGCTAGTGGAAAAAAAGTGATTGTAAGTCAATAATTTAATACTTACATATTATAAAAAATTATATTAGGTATACCAGTAATTAGAAACTATTATACTAACATAATATATCATGATACTCTAAATATTTATATAAAAGTATTAATCCAGTATATAAAATTACAACTCGTAATAATTTCCCTTAAAATTATTTGCAAAACGGTTTAATCAAACGTGAAAGTATCTGAAACCAAAAAATCATAGCACTTAAAAACATTTTAAGAAATATGACCAATATCAAAAAATTAAATATAACTTTGTTTAGTAATATTTTTTAAAACATTTTACGATAAAAAGAATCACATTTTTATAATTATGACATAACAATATAATATAATACAAATAATGTCTAATAATATATATGAAAACAAGTTCATTTCTAATTATTTTAAAATTAAAAAAATATAAATAGCATTCACATATTTATTTAAATTTTAAGATTTGATATTCTAACTGTTATCGGTGTAATAAAATGCAAAAAATTATTACCAATAAAATTCACCATACTACCAGTAAATACGACATTGATGTTGTCTATGTATTATAATATACCAAAATTTACATATTGTTTCAGATATCAGGTACGATAGAAGATCCTTCAGTTTATATGGGCATCAAACAGGTGTTACAAAAACTTGGTTATGCTAAAAATGCTCCAGACCCTGAAATTGAAAAATAACAAAGCATTTTTAACAAATATGTGAAATTTAATTTATTTTTTAACTTAAATTTTTACTTGATTTTTTGATAGTAGGTACAGTGACATGTTCTTAAAATGTGTTAAAAAATAAACTATATAAATAAAGTCAACAAATTATTATTTTTAATTGATATTAATTTGTAGTAAAAAATTAGCTATTAAATATTGCATAATATACATGTATATAATATTTTCATCATAGTACATAAAGAATTATGTTATAACTTATTTATTCAAATTAGTGTAAATTTAAGGAAGATCAGTAATTAAAAACAATATGAAAAAATAATTAATTCTTAATTAATTACTTAATATTTAATAACACTACATGATTTACATATATTTTAATGAAAATTGAGTCTTAATGTATAATCTTTCAGATTAACTTTTAGTTATAAAATACAATTTATTAAAACTATATTGCATTTAATAATTTTCTTTAAATATTTATTAAAATCTTAATACATATTCATTACTAATTATATCGTTACATTAGATAATTTACATGTTACACTATTATTATCCAAATTTGTATTTAAAACCATGATTTATTAATGCATATATATATAATATAATCAATTACGAATGTGTTTTTTCATAATTTAATTTAAGTTTATGTGGTGAATTAAAATAATAATTAAATAATTATAGGTACTATATGTTAGTAGAGTGTAAAATTCTTCTTTAGTGCTAAATAAATTCTATAGAAAATTGAAACAAAATAAGCACATCAATTACTAATTGCTAGTTAATACGTGTATAATACTTAGATTAACTAAAAAATTAATTATTGTAAAAATAAAATAAAAAACGAGTTAGTTATCATATTTGCTTAAAAAACAACAAAAAAACTGTAAAATTATCATATTATTAAAAAAAAAAACTTGATAAGCCAAGTTAACCATAGTTTCATAGATTGATGATGACAACTTAAACAAATTATTTTTTTAGAATTATTTCAAAATCTAATATAAAAATATTTTTGTGATTAATATAAATGTTTATATTTTATATAATTTATATTTATTTTGATTACATAGCTAAGTAAAATATGTAATTAACAAGTATATATCTAAATGTAGATTTGGGATTTACCTACGCTATTATTTAGATCTTACAATGTACAGTCATAAAATGTTTTTTAATTTCTATAATTTGCATTACTCACATAATCATTTTCCCTATTCTAAATAAGTTACTTTCATTACCCATATTTACGTACATATTACAAATATTATAAAATTATTTTAATATTTTAATTTTAAATTTAATAGTACTAGAATATTTTTCATAGTCATTTACTATAAATAGAATTTCAACAATATGCATAATTTATTATTAAAAAAAAAAAAAAAACTATTTTTATGAAAACTGTTGTGAAAAGATTTAAGAAGAAATAAACATAGCTGCAGTTTATTTTTTTATGAAAATATTTTATACATTTCTTCAATATCTTTTTCAACTTTAAGTCATTTTACATAACCAACAAATAGTATAATGATAAATTCTAAAAATGTAATTTATTTTAAAATAATTTTTTTAATTTATAATAAAATAAAGGTTAATTTTAATAGCATCACTTATAATTATATTGTTATATTTTATAAAAAAAAAACTTTAGTTTTAAAGATAATTCTAGTTCATATGGTATTGATTTTCTACCCATTTTAAAAATATACAGTATATTTGAGAATTTCGGTGTATGTTTTAAACATGATATTTACTCACAGTTCTTACAAAGTAAGCTTCAAAAGATAAATGATTTATTAAAAAAACATTCTTAGTATTATTTTTGCATAATGAATGATTAATGTGTTTTTCAAAGTTTTTTTAATAGATAATATAGTTATATGAATTGGATGCTTTGTTTTCCTACCATTAAGAAATATTCATTGTGAATTATACATAAAATTATATAATTTATATTTTCTCAAAAACTGAAGATTATCTTCTCAGTAATCACGCTATAATGATATTATAGCCGATGTAACTTATTTGATTTAAATAATTTATCAACTATTGTAACACATATACGCCCTGAATTGTAATTGATATACATTCGATTAAATAAAGAAAATTTGTGCAATGTTTCGATTTGTTAAATAGGTACTAGCCTAAATACAAAATCTAAAATGATATTGTAAAAATTATTTGTAAATAATTATTTATGGATTAAACTATATTTATATGTGTTGAATTTTTGCATGTAATAAGTTATAGATATATTTTTATTTGTATGAATACAATGTACCAACGATTAACGACCTTAAATATAATATATTCACAATATTAAATATATATATATATATATACATGTAATACAGAATGATTTTTTCAATGTAAGATCGTTATTATTTCGAAAATTATTAACTTTTTTTCAATTTTATCTTAAATATTGACTGATAGCAATATTACTTTCTTGAATGCATGCATAAATACTAAAGACACGAATTAAGTGTTTTTTTTAATTTAATTTTGGGCGCAAATGTATAAAACATTAATAAATTGTTTAAAATTATTGTTCAAATTTCAAACAAAAATATTATATAGTAATTTCGGTACATATTATTCTATGTTATTATAGTTATAAGTTAATTACTTATCAAAAATGCTTAATATATTATTATTTAATCTTATTTTTATTACACCAATAAACATTTTAAAAAGTATAGATATACCTAAACTACAAGGCATTTTATCTGCAATGTTTAATATTTTGTTATTTATAATATAATACGGTCTTAATTTTTAATATTTAATTTAAAATTAGCTAGTATGCTTTTTAAAATTTGTTTAAAATTATTATAATATTGATTCATGTCTATAACCTTTAAATCAGCATGCCACGAAATATTATTTTATAATCGTTTATTTTAAAGGATAGTTTTTCCATGTAACTGTCATTATTGAAAAGTATTACTTATTATTTTTTATTCGTGCAAAATTGATACCTATAGGACTACATCGAAAATTTTCTCATTAAAACCTGCATCAATAAACTATAAAAATATACTGTTATTATTAAGAGCGTTCATTAGCCCGAACGTGATGTTTATTCCGGCAAGGAGTTTACGAAGAAACAATTTTCATTCTCGTTGCCGGAAACTCGTTGGTGGTTAATTCTATTTAACAGTATTCAATATATTTTCTTAACACTGCCACTTATGCAAACAATGCAAAATAGAAATAAAAATATGTAGCAGGTATTTTATTTAAAAGACTTTCTCATATTAACTATAATGAATAATAGTTAATGCATTTTAATTGTATAAATTTATAGAAAATTGATATTAAAAGTTTTTATTTATAAATAAGTGCCTAATAAAATATAGTTTATACTCATAAATTTATTTTCATGTCAATAGATTATTTTTTATTTTTAACCAAAAAGCATGACAATTTAGTTCAAGGGTTCCTATTTTCTCGTGAGTTGTTTTAACAGCTGTTAAAATATGATGAAAAACATTGTAAACAACTTGAAAAACAAACACTCCACTATTACTTAATATATTATCATATTCCATACATAAATTACATTTTTCCTAATTTTAAGTCATTTATGAACCTATTCACATCGTTCAAGGGTATATCGATACTGAATTTTAAGTCATATGTAATATTTTTAGCAACATTAAACCTACTAATTATGGAAATTTAAAATTTTTATAATAATAATATATAAATTTTCCTTAGAAATAGTTGCTAATTACCCGTTTCTTTCTTTCAGTATTGGGTAATCATATATAATTTTTTATCAATGAATTCATATGTAATAACACATACATTAGTCATAACAGTTAACAGTGACCTACTCAATGATGTGAGATAAGTACACTTAAAAATCTACTATACTGCAGCAGAGTAAGCGTTTCATTTTTTTTATACGGACATTTTAAATAATTTTAAATTGTACATGAAAATAATACTTTCTTGGTTAAAAATGTACCTTTCTAACTCAATATTATTTAATATAAGTTACTAGAAAATTTTTATTATTATATTTAATAACAGAGTTGGTACCAAAAGATATTAGATAATTATTATTATACTTTATATATTTGTTAGCTACAACTTTCATGTTTATAATTTACATGGCTTTTATTTAATTATATGAACTGTTTGATTAGTATTTGCTTACAGTTTAATCATTACATCTTGTCTTCTATGCTTTTAAATTATAGAAATATACATTGTTGTTTAAAAAATAACCATGACAAATAATATTGGATGATTCTTTGAATGATATGAAGAAAAATAATAATTGTTAGTGTTGTTTTTTTAGTATATTTTTTCAAGAGTTATGTATATCTAGGAGTCTTAAAAAAGCCTAGTCAGTGTAATATCTTGAGACATTTTTGGTAATTTTCTACTCATATGTAATATAATCAAGAAATAATTGTAAAAAAAATATTGTAAGGATGTATTTCAATTATTAAAATAATTGATTCAGCATTTAAATATACACATTTTAACACCATTACTAATATATATAAACAAATTAATAATGATAGTGACATGGATATTTACAATGTATATTAATTTAAAAATATATATAAATTATTACAACAAAGTAATAAGAATATCTATTATGTAAACAAATTTATGATTGTAATATACTCTGAGTGTTTTTTAAGCAAAAAGGCGGCGTATATCATAATTATTTCTAAGCAGTATTTATTGTCCACTTTTAAAAATTAGTTTCTTTTAAAACGCCTCAAAATTCTGAAACACATGTGTCAAATTGACTAAAAACGTGTTTATTGTTACTGAAATTCACATTTTTTATACTGATTGGATCGTCTATTATACAGCATAAGAATTTGTGAAAATGTTAATTAAAATATCATTGCACTACAATATGGTAATTATTTTTCAACAATAATATTTTTATTACTATAAGTGTAGAATTTACACATTATGATAATAAAAAAAAACCATTCTTTTTATAAATACGTTCACTAAGCAAGCCATCCCTAATTTTTTCTTTTAATAATAATTTTATTCAAAATTTGTTTTGGAATTTTTAGATATTTAGGACTATTTTTTAAAAGTTTTGTTTTAGTATTTGATGAATATTAAATAGTATAAGTATTAAGTATATATTATTATAAT